AAGGCGTGCGCCACCAACGCCCGGCTAAAAAATTCCTGTTTTAATACTTATAGTTTTCTTTTATGGATGCTGCAAATATTTGAAAATTTAAAAACGTTTGTAGTTAAATATTCAGTCACTATTCTTCATTGCTGACTGTGGCAGGCACTGACTGGTCCATTGACAGTCAGTTTGTCACTCACATATAGCTAAGCAGTTGAGTTTATGTAGTTAACTGTAGTGCAGTCCTGTGGAGACCAGAACACAGGCACGACAGAACACAGAAGACCTTAGTCCATAATTTTTAACTTAATTTAATTTTGTGTGTGTGTGTGTGTGTGTGTGTGTGTGTGTGTGTGTGTGTGTGGTGTATTTGAGACATAACTCCATAATGCAGCCCTGGCTTGCCTGGAACTTGTCATGTAGACCAAGGTGGACTTCAATTCATGCATCTGCCTACCTCTGCCTCCCAAGTGCTGGGATTACAGGTGTGTGCCACCATGCCTGGCTTTAGTTTTTACTGAAATGTGATAAACTTAATTTTTATGGTGCTGACACAATTGTATGTATTAATGAGGCACAGTGTGACATCTCGACAGTGTTGCGTCTGCACTGGCCAGCTCAGGGTAAATGGGGTTCTTACCAGTGGCTTTCTCAGTGGCAATGCTGATGTCATTGGGATCTGTGTCTGGCATGAGCACAGTGCCTTCCATTGGGCCCATTGCAGGCATATATACTGGGTGCAGCATGGGCCAGGCTGTGTGCAGGCTGCTCAAATGCTCCACTGGGGCTCAGCTTTCAGCAGGGTATGGGAGGCAGATGCTTAAGCAAAACAGATATTTAAGAAATATAGTAAGCCAGAGGAAAATACTCATCCACAAGGCAGGATGGGACTGAAAAGGTGGGTGCTGGTCCTTTAGGAATGACTTAGTGTCACTGAGGAACCCGTGAGAACATGTGGGAAAGGGGCAAGGGGCCACTAGAATTCTGGCTGGAAGGCCCTAGACTGGGGCTGTTCCTTATGAGCTGGGGGTGGAGGTGGGTGACTGGATAGGTCCAGTGAATGAGCCAGGAAGAGGGCCCAGTAGGGATGCTGCTGGTGTGTAGCTATCTGCCGAGGGCACACAAGCTGTCCTCTTGCCTTTGCAGCATGTTAATGAGCCAGGGAAATCTTGTCTGTGATGTGGCCCTTGAGTTGCTGTTAAGAGCTCTGGAGCAGAAGGTGGAGAACCCTGGGGAACTGCACATGAATCCAGGTGTTAGGTGATGCCTCAGTGCATGCAAAGCTGGAGCCAGAGTCTATAGGATGGCATGGAAGAACCACCCAGGCATGAGGCTTTGGTCCAAGCAGCTGGATAACATGGGCTACTGCTGACAGTTGAGACATTGGGAAGACTGTGATCGGTACCTGGAGTTAATATCCTAAAAGAGATGTCCAACGGCCTGTGCTGGTGCTTCGTGAGGCCGAGCCGGGAGAGTGCTGCAGCGTCAGCTGGATGTGTGAGACTTTTGGCTGAGGACCAGGCCTGCAGTGCCCATTGAGCAGAAGGCCCTGCCCTGGGTGTCCTGGCAGCGAGTTGATAGGGAGCGGGCTGAGATGGAAGAACAGTGGCCCAGGGGGAGAGTTCTGCAGGAAGTGGGGTAGTCCTTGGGAGGCTGGTGTGTGGCATGTGGAGAGCCTTGTGGGAGAGAAGCCAGAGCCCTGGAGCTGGAGCAGCCTGGTAGGAAGGAGGACCGTGAAACTCGGAGGAGAGGAGCTCAGAAACAGTGCAAGGAGGCAGGAAGTAGAGCGACTTCACTGAGTGCCCTAGAGCACTTGGCACCCTGGAGGGGCCCTGGGAGTGGGGCAGGAAAGCAAGGTTGTCTGTGGAGCTCTGGCTGGCGGGAGTGGAGGAAGTGTGACTTGCTAGTTCTGAGGAGTTCAATCAAGGTGCAGAGAGGAGGTCTGAGGAGTCGGGGGCTGGGGAGGATAAGGTAGAGGGCTAAGTGAGATGGATTAAAGAAGGCCTCGCTGGATTGTTGGATTAGTGGCTTGGGGCTCTGGGTTTAAGACCCAGCATTGGGGAAGAATGTCTCAGGTGTCGTTGTGATTTGATGCTTGTGTTAATTCTGTGCACCGAATTACTCTGATCTAGAAAAACTGTGTCACTGGCAAGCAGTAAATAATACAAATAAGTCATGTGGAAAGTAAACAATTTAGAGTGCAGAATCCAAGGGGAAGGAGACCCTGGACCTCTGCCTCCCCTAGGGAGTCCCTTAGGTCTGAAATGTCCTATCCCAAAGCCCTGTGTACTGCTGTGCACCTCCCCTAGGCGTAGGAAGACGTACACATGCAGTTCCAGTGGAGAGAATGGCTGACCTCCTACACGCTGACCTGGAACTTTCCACTGGTGTTCCTTCCTGTGGTGTATTGGGGTGGCATGATTAAATCCTTCTTCCATGTTAACATGTGGCCGAGCCACCCCCCATCTTCCTGTACCCCTGCTGAGCGCTTGGGTTGTGTCTTTGGTGGACTGCCCTCTTTCCACGTGCACCATGGGAGCTCCAGGACTCTAACTGGTAATTGCATTCTGAGTCTTTATTGAACATTAGTCTTAGTCCAGCTGCTTTATTACATTAGGACTGGATACTCCCCAGGCCTTCTGAGAAACGGCAAAGCTAATTTGCCAAAATGGCAACTGCACGTACCACTCTCTGTTCCAGTTTTCTTGGGCTTCTTGCCCTAGTTTTTTCTATCAAAACTTTCCCTGTTAGCAGAATTTTAAATGTTTTTATCCTGGCAACAGAAGCATTTGGATTAGCAGCTAAGGGGGCAGTGGTGTCCTCATTTGGAGGAGGTCAGGGTTCAGGGTTTTATGGCCAGTTCAGAGTGTTTTCTTAAGCCACTCGCAGAGCTTTTAAAAGCATGAAGATGCTGGGGTTGGGCATTTGAAAGCCGCTGCCATTGGCCCCTTAGGAGAGGCAGGGGCTGCTTATGGAATCTGTGAGGTAGGGCCGTTGTGAGTAGGCTACAGGGCCAGAGTAAGCAGGTTTAGACCAGGCGGTTATCTTACTTTCTCACAAGGTTGTCCATAGCAGGTAGCTTAGGAACGGGGGAGCTCCACGTATGTCGGGAGCTGGCTCCTCCCTTCTAGCTCGTTGCTCTTCCTGGGTTTCCATGTTTGGGCCTGGAGAAGGCCAAGGCTGTAGGCCAGTTCTCTCTTGAGGGTTCCCAGAGGCTTCCGCACCTGTGTTTCCTTGGGTGGACTTGTAGGAGTGTCCAGTCTTTTGACATTGTGACAGACATTGTCATCTATGAAGTTTATGTACCAAAGCCATGTAGTCAAGTAAACCTCCCCCAAACAAAACCTTGCTGTGTTAATTAGACTAATGATTTTGTATTGGGCAGCATTTATTGCTCTCCTGGGGTGGATGTGGCTTGTGGGCCATGGGTTGGAGAGGCCTTGTAACTGCACTTGCTGCAGGTGAAGCTGGGAAGGTGAGTCTGTCCGGTGGCCATCTGCCCTGAGATACTAAGGTAGGCATACTGGTGATTCTAGTGTCTGTGCAGCCTTGAAAACGGCAAAGATTTGCCTGTGTGTTGTGTGTGTGCATTTTCCTGGAAAAGGCTCTATGGTGCATTTCCAGTTCTTTGGGTTTGCTAGACCCTGGACTGTGTTCAATCTAGTGCTGAATTTGGCTGGTCGCCTTTAGGACTGTTGCCTGCGCCCAGAGCTAATGCTTACCCCTTCAATAGTCTTTGCTTCTCAATTTGGAAGCGAGAAGACAGGCTTTCTGTATGGCATGAGGTACATTATCTCTCAGCCATTGCTGCTCTATACTTCCAGTTCCTCCTCAGAAACCTTGGGAAGGTGTGGGCACAGAGTTCCAGGGCTATTTTCCCTCACCTAGGAGAGCTGCACCTGACCCCAGGCTCTGGGACAGTCCTCAGGCTGACATTGAAGACAGCAGAACTGATTGGAGTTGGGATAGCGATGTCCTGGTGTTACCCCGATGCTGTCAGTGTGTGTATCTGATCACTTTTTAGAAGCATATTTTAGAGGCAGAATACGGCAGGAAGAGGAGAAATAGAGTGGTCTTTCCTCCCATGTATCTCAGGCCATTCAGTCTCTGCATATGCTGTGCATTTCTAGTCTGTCCCCTTCCCTGCTGTTTCTGCTCCCAGAGAGCAATGCTCAGAGCCACTCCTTGCACAGTGCATGGTATCCCACTGCTGCTGCTAAAGACTCCAGCTTGGGTTCCATTGTGGTTCTTTTTGAGTGCATCTTCACACAGTATGTGTACTTCACACAGTATGGAAGGTTCCTGTGTCCAAGGAGAGTACTCAAGGCCCCTGCAAGCTATTGGGCTCAAAGCCTTGTCAGATGTGTATGTTTTCAGTTACCCAGCAGGTGGAGCATCTGTCCATGTTTTGGCTTTTTTTTTTTTTTTTTTTTTTTCTGTGAGACTGATTTCTTATGCTCAGTTTCAGATTTCCTAGTCTTTCCTATTGCTGTGCAAGAAAGAATTGGCCTATGTGTAGCAAGTATTTTTTTCTCTCCTAGTTTCAGTTTTCCCTTAAAGAGTCCTTTTGATGAAATCAAATGCAAACAAAGTGGCATGTTAGGGTGACTTGTGCTGATGGTTGCATCAGTGTTCTGCGGGTGTCACTCACACATCTCGCCATTGCACGGCCAGACTTTACCTGTTGTTTAGTTTCTGCCCAGTCCTTAGTTTTGTCAACTTTTAAAGTCTACTTTAATTTCCTACAGTCACCCCACCCCCCACGATCCCTCCTGTTACTGTGTTAATTAGATGTGTCAGCAGTGGTGCAGGACAACACAACTTTCTCTCTCTCTCTCTCTCTCTCTCTCTCTCTCTCTCTCTCTCTCTCTCTCTCTCTCTCTGTCTATCTCTCATTTCTTGCAAGGTGAGACCCTGGCACCCTCTTTCCTCAAAGTACTGGTGAGGAACAAAGGTCATGAATTTCAAGGGTCTCTTCACCCCACTGCAACTGTTACACTTAGTGACTGCCAGCTTTTTCTTGTTTGCCCAGAGTAGCTCCTTTCAGCTGGTCCGGGTGTCCTGGAGATTGAGCCTAGCAGTGTTTGTGGTGTCCTTACTAGAAGTCTTGATGGCTGCCTCCTTAAGATGGGAGCCCAGTGGTTTTCACAGTGTCTTACATGTGGTCTGACAAGTCCAGGCTCAGCTCGTGTGGTTCTCGCCTGGAATATGTACTGGCCCGTTTCTTCAAGGAGTCTGGTTTCCTTCTGCTGAGGACTGGATCTTCAGCAGCACAGCCAGGCTCCAGAGACACACACTGCTGCAGGGGCCACTGCCACCACTGCCCTGCCTATCACTGGACAGGGCAGAGTGTGGCAACATATACCCCATCCACGTTTGCCCTTCCTGTTCAGACGGCGGTACCCAGACACAAACTGGATCACCACTGTGTCTGCTTCTCCACTCTCAGGAATGTGCAGCAGGATTGGAGTGCTGTAAGTAGTTAGTGTTGACCAAGACATCCTCAGCTATCCGCAGGGGACTCCAGTGCCCCTTGCAACAGTTACTGAAGACAGTTATTATGTATTTTGTAGTTGTGTTCTCTTGTTTGAAACAGTTGTTATTAGTGGGGGTGGGGCGCAAAGGGCCCTCCTCCCTCTCCCAGTCTTCCTCACAGTGCCCTGTACCCTCAGCTGACTGTCTCTTCTACTGATTTTGGTTTTCTGAAGTTTTTTTTTTTTAATAGATTCTCTATTTATTTATTTGTTTATTTTTGTTTTTTTGAGACAGGGTTTCTCTGTATAGCCCTGGCTGTCCTGGAACTCACTCTGTAGACCAGGCTGATCTCAAACTCTCAGAGATCCGCCTGCCTCTGCCTCCCAGCCCTGGGATTAAAGCACACGCCACCTTTGCCTGGCCTTTTGCAGATTCTTTACAATGGGTTTGTGTATGGGGGTGCTGTTCCAAGATACTTTATGTGGATCAAATTTGCTGCCTTTATTTAGACTTGATGGTGATTTTTGTTTAGATATAAAATTCTTGGCTCACATTTCTTTCTCATAGTATCATTTTATTATTTGATTGTATGTATGAGTGTTTTGTCTGCATGTATGCCTGTCTGTTATGTGTACGCAGTGCCATGAGAGGCCAGAAGTTGGTGTCAGACCCCCTAGAGTTGAAGCTGAAGATGGTTAGGAGTTGCCATGTAGGTACTGGGGATGGAACTGGGGTTCTCTGGAGGAGCAGTACTTTTAACTGCTCAGCCCCTCTCATGGTATCTTAAATATTTTGATCCATTTTCTTTTGCCTGGTTTGATTGAATTCTCTTTGTGTTGCAAGCCATCTAGTCTTTTGCTTGGATGTATAAGGGAAAATTCCCTCTAGGTATCTGGTGTACCTTTTTTTTAATGTACCCTTTTTAATAAGTGGTTTCAGCAATGCCTAGCCCCACTTCCACTTTCAGGAGCCCCTCCCATTCTTCCTGTCCTGGCTGTGGAACCTAAGGCTGTGTGCTTGTTATTGCTTAGCTGTGCCCCAGCCCCAGGAGACTCTTGGGTAACAGTCCTGAGATCTGTTTCATTGCCCTAGCTTGCTCCTGTTGCTTCCCAGTACACTTTTGGGTCTTCTTCACCTGCTTTCTGTATTGCATTTTTTAACATCCCTGTAGCCTTTTTCACTCCCCGAGTTCCTATTTATTTTCCTGTTGTTGTTAGGACTCTACCTGTCATATTTGTTTACTTTTGAGTTCTGTCTATTGTGGTAATATTTTGTGGGACTGGCAGGTGAGAGAGTGAGAGAGATTTGTTGTGACTGCGAGCTGGGCAGTACCAGGAAAACTTTTAGCTACAGTCCATCTTGGTCTTTCTGTAACTTGTTCATTTGCAGCTGTTTATTTAGCTCTGTGTTGATGGACCTGGCCTCAGTTTCATGTTGGAGAGTACGTTTTCTGGCGGCTTAATCAAAACATCACAGGAGCTGGAAGAAAGTCACAGATGGATCTGCTAGGGGAAGTTCTTGGGGGTGGGGTGTCTGGAGGGCCATGCAGCTATGACACTGGTTGGTTCACTGGGATGTGATAGTCACCGAGGAGGCTGAGGAACCATGGGTCGCAGGTCGTGATTGACAGAGTGCTCCTGTAGGCAGCTGAGGCCCACTGGAGATGCTAGACTTGACACGAGGGCTCCAGACCTGCTTAGGAAGGTGTGCTTGGAGGTGACATGAGGAGTGAGTGGGGAAGCGAGGCTCAGCTGGGGCCATCTCTTCACTTTGTTCTTTAAAGGAAATAAAACCAGCTAGCTATTTGTGTTTCTGAGCATTTCTGAGTGCGTAGGAAACATGTGGAGCCCTGTAGTGAGGCACCTGCAGACTTCTGAGACCCCTAGCTGCACAGGGCTAGGGATCTATCTGTTCTGCACTGTGACCATTAATCTTCCCTTGTGGTTCTTGGCATTTGTTTTGCAGGTGACAGAAAGCCCATACCTCGCGACCTTTGGATTCTTGCTTATTGGTGTACCCCTCTTCTCGTGTTCTGGATGATGTCAGAACAGGACCTGGCGGATGTGGTTCAGATTGCAGTGGAAGACCTGAGTCCTGACCACCCAGGTAGAGCTGTGAGACAGAAGATGAACTGTTGCTCTCTCTGTCTTTGCAGTATCAAAAACCATTCTGCTGGACTTTGTTCCCTCAGTAAAGCAGACGTAACAGTGATGTTAGCTCTGTGTGAAAACTCAAATCATGGCATGTAAGTAGTGCTGTGAACACACACACACACACACACACACACACACACACACCACCTTCTTGCTCCTCCATCTTGGCCCCCAGGTCTGCTTCAGCAGCGCAGCTGCTCATGCCCAGCACCCTTTTCCCTTGAGAACTTGTCACCTATTCCATGATGCCATCTGATGTTCCTGCCATGTGTGGGACCTGTGGCCCTTACTTCACCACACCTCCTGTGTGCAACTTGATGCTGCAGTGGGCCATGCATTTACTCTGGAGGGCTGGTAAACACAGTTCTTCAGTGACTGTGGCATTCTCTCCACAGGCTTACCCTAGTTTACTACCTCCCCAGATGCTGTTTGACGTGCTGTGCACTGCTTCTCTTCTTTGTAGAGTCTGGTGGGGAAGATCTTTCTTGCACATGCATCTGGGTGAATATTTTTGCAGGGTTAGGTCCCAGAGTAGAGCTGCATGTAACATTTTGGTAAGACACTAACAGGTTTTCCAGAAAAACCATATTACCTCATTCCTATACTGACTGCTTGAAAACAGATACTCCTAACTTCAGCTAAGGCCAGCTGTTTCTTTATGAGAGTAAAAGCATAACCATTTTGAAACCTTAGCCAAGTCTCTATTTTAAGGAGACTCTACAAGAGTGATAATCTGAATTTAAGACTTATGGGGAGCATCATCTGTGAAAAACACACACACACATACTCACACACACTCATTTCTGCAAAAAGGAATTCAGGCCATCGCTCTAGAGGCATGCGGTGTGTTGCTAAGAGAGATCTGTAGATGGTAGGATCGTGTCCTCTCCAGTGTGAGTGAGCACACAGAGTCTGGAGAAATGCACAGGCAGTCAGTGTCACCTATTTTAGGCAAGGAGGTGTGAGAAAAACTAAACCAGTGAAATGAAAACATTCATGCATAAAGGTCAGTAAAATATTGACCTCGGAATTCTGTAATCATAGATTAGTAGATCTATGAAGGTCACCTGTGACAGACCAGAGCAGTTGCTCAGAGATTGAGAGCTCTTCCTCTTCTAGAGGACCTGAGTTCTGTTCTCATGTTAGACAGCTTATGACCACCTGTAACTCAAGCTCCAGGGGATCTGATGCCCTTTTCTGGCTTTTGAGGGCACTTCCACACATGTGGCATAATCCACATAGATGTATACACATAAATAAAAATAAATAATAAAATACAATATACACATAAATTAATAAATAAATAAAAATTTTCTTAAGAAAAATGATTGTTAGCTGGGCAGTGGTGGCACACACTTTTAATCCCAACATTCCGGAGGCAGAGGCAGGCAGATCTCTGTGAGTTTGAGGCCAACCTGGTCTACAGAGCGAGTTCTGGGACAGCCAGGGATACACAGAGAAACCCTGTCTTGAAAAACCAAAAAACTTAGAGACAGAGAGGGAGGGAGGGAGGAAGGGAGGAAGGGAGGAAGGGAGGAAGGGAGGGAGAGAGGGAGAGAGAGAGAGAGGGAGAGAGGGAGAGAGGGAGAGAGGGAGAGAGAGAGGGAGAGAGAGAGAAGAAGCGAGGGAGGGAGGGAGGGAGGGAGAGAGAGAGAGAGAGAGAGAGAGAGAGAGAGAGAGAGAGAGAGAGAGAGAGAACACGATTGCTCCTGTGTAGAGAAAAGGACTAGACGGCACAGGTCAGTAGAAGTGCAGTTTGCAGAGGTCATGTCACAGCGAGCACGGCTACTCTTTGACCTTGTTTTGTACTTCATTTGGATGGGATTAGGAAGTTGGGATGGTACTGCAGAGGCTGAAATTGGGGTTACCTTGCTTATCTGACAGCAGGCCTGAAAGGTCAGCAGGAACTGCTGGTGGGCAACTCTTGCGTGGCTGCAGCTTCCACACAACTCACCATGTTGGCTATGCTAGTTTGGAGCATATACGACATGCAGCGAACATTGTGACTGTTGGTACATATGTGCCTCTCAGCCCCATGTTGGGAGTGGGCCTGGGACCAAAGGCTAGGTGAGGTTGCTTTTGATTTTGCAATAGGTTAACCAGCAGACACACTAAATAAAGCTGGGAAGAAGTCATGGAGGAAGGTTTAGTGTGGGGTTGTCTCCTGGACTCTGGAGAGCATGCATTGGGTGGTCTGATGTTTTTGTGGGGTGAGGGAGGGCCTTGTTTCTGCCTGGCTGAGAATTTTAACAAAGTAATTAAGGTGCCAGCACTGTGCTTGGCTGTGGTGGTAAAGAGCCCTGACAATCTTGCCATGCTCACTCTAGTTTCTGTCTCTGTGGTTGCTTTTCAGTTGTTTTGGAGAATCATGTCGTGACAGATGATGATGAACCTGCTTTGAAGCGCCAGCGACTAGAGATCAATTGCCAGGATCCCTCTATAAAGGTACCATCTGGGTCCTGTGTGCATTGTGTCAATTTTCTACTGTCGCTTTGGGCTTAGAACAGCAGAACTGACCCTCTTGCAGCCCTAGAGTGGCAGGGCCATGCCTTCTGGAATTCCAGGGGAGGCTCTTCCTGCCTCTTCTGTGCTGTGACCTCTAGGCAGTACCAGCCTTGTCACTAAAGTCTATGTCTGAGGCCTATCCTCACCCAAGCCTGGATGATCTCATTTATTTAAATACATCTGCAAAGACCCTTTTTCCAGATGACGCCACAGTCAGGACCTGGGCTTGTAGCATGGAGATGCCACCGAAAGGCTATATAAAAGCACAGGCCAGGTTCCTGGCAAGAGGAGAGGAGGAAGCATTAGATTGGAGGGCAAATGAGATGTCTTCCTGTGTGTGCGTAAGCCTGCCTCAGATGGGAGGAAAGCTGAGGGTCACTGTGGCCCCCCAGTTCTGAGGTTTGCTGGCTGGGGTTGGAGGCCCCTCAGTCAGTCAGTGAATTGCTTCTGGATTTGCTTATTTGGGACTCAGTGTCTGCAGAACTGGAGGTAAGTTATTGGCACAGGAGAAGTTACAACAGCAACTTGGTGATAGCAGTCCTGTTCGCATGTTTCCTCTGCGTCGAGGGCATCTGCTTGAGATGCTCAGTTCACTCTGGTAACCAGGAGAAGCAGTGCCAGTTGCAGTGGGGAACTGAAAAATCTGCTCAGTCCAGGAGTGATGATGCACACCTTTAATCCCAGCACTCAGAAGGCAGAAGCAGGTGGATTTCTATGAGTTCAAGACCAGCCTGGTCTACAGAATGAGTTCCAGAACAGCCAGGACTACACAGAGAAACCCTGGCTCCAAAAAAAAAAAAAAAAAAAAAATCTGTTTAGTGAAATCCAACTTCAGACCAGTGGACAGAAGGACAGCAATATATTTCAAAGTAAAGTGTGATCCTAATTGTATCACAGAACACATTTGTAAACAGAGAAACAGACCAAGTGGAAAGGGAAGTAGCTGTCTGGGTTCTGGTGGTGCTGTTAACAGCACACTTCACATGCATGCTGTCACATGTAACTATGTGTTGTCATGGGATTGGAAGACATTCACATGCCACATTGGCAGCTGTAACTCAACAGACAGGTCGGAGCTATTTGTGGTCATCCTCACTTGTGGAGCAGTGTTAGGAAAACATATTATTTCCCCTCTTTCTTTGTAGATTTGCTTGAGACATTAGTTAGTCTGTAATAGTGATTTTTTTTCACCCAAACTCTAGACAGAACATTTCTCATTCAGAGTTAAAATAATGTTTTAACTATTAAAAGAACTTGGAAGGCAAATAGTTGATGTTGTCCAGTTATAAAGAATAATGGTCCATGGTCTTGTCTCAAGAACTGTCCACCACTTAGTGCTCATGATGCATCTATCTCCCTGCACTGTTGACGTTGCCTCCAGTGATGACCAGGACCCTTGGAGATGAGTCCAGTGCTGCTGCTTGTTCCCTCCTGCACACAGCCTTGGTGTTTGCTTCTGTGGAGAGTGGTTAGCAGGGGAGGGTCCTCTCTTGAACCTTTTCCTTACTGGTGGTGCTGTGCTGCGATGAGCAGAGGTAGATGTAAGGGTTTGGGGTATGTAGGACATTTCTGTGGCTGCTCCTAATTGCTGCACATAGCAGGGACTAAAGCAAGCTCAGAGTTCTTGCGAGCCAAGGTTGGCTGGTCAGAGTGCTCTGGACCCACGCATTCATGCTTTTCTGCACCTAAGCTTTGGTGATGTGCTATATGCCACTGTAACTGTTGTGATTTTGATAGTATTCTGTAGTTCCCTTTCAAATGAGAAGAGACTGGCCCCCACTAGCTCGGACTAGGTGCTGAGAGGCAGGCTGTTCTGACTGCCTGTGTTCTGAGGTCCAGGGTCAGCCTGAGCTGGAGCCTCTACTCTTGCCAGCTTGCACCTTCCTTCTTTTGTGTCCCGAAGGCTACACATCTCCTCCAGTCAACTCCTTCTCATTCTGTTTTCTTCAGATGTTGCTGGCCGTATTCCTACATTTCCTGTCGTTAATCAGCACCCTGAATGCTGACCTAGAGGTCTCTTTCACAGTAGAATTCCTATGTGTGTCATGCATCTGGTGGCTCCAGTCCGGACTGGCAGTTGAGGGAGTGAATGAAGCCTTTCCCTCTGGTCTGCATGTTCTTGTGTTTAAACATGGCTGCTTGCCGGCTTATTTCAACTTGGTAGTTGCTCCTTTTGTTGGCCACTAGGTGGCATGCTTGCTATTTAGAAGGTCCTTGGAAGGGGTTATGGCCAGATTTCAGTGGCGTATACCTGTGTCGAGCCATTTTTTTTTTTCTGTCGTGGCTGGATACAATGTGAGAGTGTTCAGTGTTTTCCAGGCTGTTTGGATGTTAGGTATAATCTGTCATAAGAAAGATTTTGTAGTTTTAACGTGTGAATCTACTGATGAACACAGTGACAAGCTTATTACTTCATGACCTTAATGCAGGTGAGATTGCAAAAGGGTCTTGTTTGATACAGAGGGCTGGGCTTCTCACTGAATACCTAGGCACTGCTCAGGGCTTCTCACTGAATACCTGGGCCTAGCCCAGGGCTAAATTGGGTGGAGTGAGGAGCCAGCTGTTTAGGGTCCATGGACTTGCCCTTTGCAGTGTGAGACACCCTCTCTGAAGCTTTTCTGTTTTCACTTCCAGTCTTTCCTGTACTCTATTAACCAGACGATATGTTTGCGGTTGGATAGCATCGAGGCCAAACTGCAAGCTCTGGAGGCCACTTGCAAATCTCTGGAAGAGAAGCTAGACCTGGTCACCAACAAACAGCACAGTCCCATCCAGGTCCCCATGGTGGCTGGTTCCCCACTTGGTGCCACCCAGACCTGCAACAAAGTACGATGGTAAGTATGGAAGAGCCAAGGCTCCACAGGCCATCCTGGGAAAAGTGCTCCTGTGCCAACCCAGGCGCCACTGTTACTGATCTGCCCTGGCCCCGGATATCTGCCCTGGTGGTTCCATGGTACTGGTTTCACTTAGACCGAAACCAAACACAGGCTCTGTGCTGGAATGACCTCAGTCGCTCCAACTTTCTTCTTGGCTTAAGCAGATGGACTCATCTTTCCTTGCACCTGGCCGTGAACTTGGCCCATGTATGTTGCTTCTTTTCTTTTCCTACCTCTGACTGGTCATTGCCTACATTTTCTTCAGTGGTGGTGTTTATAAAATTTATTTGATCATAGCAAACTTTCTGCTAAGTCTGATACTTACATTGTGCCTAATTTTAAAATAGAAGATTTGTAGTCTCCTAGAGAGCTTTGTGTGGTTTGTACTCTGCTGGCATGAAAGGTTCATGCTTGGCTTGGTGGGATGGAAAGGTGCCTCAGAAGGTGTCCTTCCAAAACCTGGGTCCATATGCAGTGTGGCATGAGATCCTTCAGGACAGCAACACCCACCCAGTACTCCTGCTATTTTTATTCTTTTCTACAGTGTCTAGGAGGAAGTCTGCTTGTGGTAGTGGGCACAGTGTTATCTTTGTGCTCCAAGGCCTATAGCCTCTTACTGTCGGGTTTGGGAAGAACAGAACAGTAGGGTGGCAGTGGGAGCCACAGCAAGGCTAGAGAGACACCAGTGGCTTTGCTGCAGTGTGGGCCTTTGCTGGATGCCACCTTGCCCATGGGTGCTGGTAACTGGAGCAGCAGTAGGTGCCTTGTGGATTTTAAGGACTATGGGGAAGGGAGAGTAGGGGTTACTTTGGATGGTTTTGAGGTACTTGAGAGTAGAAGTGACTGCTTGTCCTTTTCTGAGATGGTTCCTAATGAGGCGTGCTGGGCTCTCAAGAGCACCCAGCTTCACCCTTCGCCCCCTCTGTCATGAGGAATTTGGGTGTCTAGCTTCTCAGAGGAGGCAGGGTTGTACTTGTGACTGAAGTGGGCTGCACAGCTCACCATGTCTCTCCCCACAGACACTTGCCAGTGTCTGCGCAGGCTTCCTGTTAAGCTCGCAGAAAGACCGATTGCCTCTTAAGGCAGTTGTTTTTGAAATGCCTCTTTGTCCCCAAACGTAATGTTCAGAAATACAGTTTTAAGTATGGAGTGGCCTACCTTACAAGAGGGAGGTGTGGAAGGACAGCAGCACGGGGTAAAATCTGTGCTTCAGCATGCGATGGATGGCAGAGATAAGCCTCACGTGTCTTCTGGTGTGAGGCTTGGTTGTAGGCACCAACCAGTTGGCAGTGGAATGTTCAGAATGGCGAATTCTTTGTGCCATTTCCAATGATGCTAAGTGTAATTCTTTCTAGACTGACAATTAGTTGAGTTCCTAGAAAGTTCAAGTTCTATAAAAACTGTGCAAGGATATCTTGTGTCTGAAGTCCACATGGGACATATGGTCCTCATGTGAATGCTCAAGACCTAGGCCTTTGTGTGGGAGGGTTTCGTGTTAGAGGAGATTGTTTCAGGCACTGAAGGCCATCTTAGCCTCTTTGCCCACAGTCAGACTCTGGTAGCATCTTACACGGTAACCAGGTCTGTCATACTGACTCCAGCGCTTCTGAGCCTGCACCAGCAGCACCGATGTTGTCAGAGGGAGACAAAGGGCAGTGATCCTCTTCTCTCACAAGGTAATGCCTATCTGGGGGATAACGCCTCAGTCTTATCACTCCTGGAACAGGCTGTCTTCAGGACTGGGGAAGTGTTGACACCATCTTTTTCTCTGTTCTCGTTCTGCCAGGTTATGGGAGGCCCTGGAGTGGAAGAGGGTGTGCCCTTGTGGCCTGGCCTCAAGGGCATATGTTTTGGAATTCTGTCTGTTTGGGAGCGCTGGGTGTCAGGGTCACCTGGTTGGATGTTCCCAGGTACCAGACATTTCCAAGACCTAGTTTTGTCATTAGAAAGATAGAGAGCTGGGACACTACTACTTGGGTGTAGTGGTGACAGGGACCATGTTCTCTAGAAAGCTGTTAACAGGAAACCTGAGAGCAGCCTGGAAGATGAGAGCTGAATCCCAGGATTTCAGTGAAGGATGGTTGAAGTCATTGATGAGAAGAAATGAGAGTTGTTTCCACAGAACCTGGGCAGTGGGCCATAGACTGGTTTCTAGCAACAGCTAAAAGGCAGTATCATACTGGATAATAAGGTACTGAGCTCTGTTTACCTGGGGCTTTGGATACTTAAGAGAAGTGCATAAGCCGAATGATCTTATGTCCAGATCATATACTCTTAACTTAGTCACCTGGGACCACTACTCGCTGGCTGTGAGTGTAACTCACAGGACTAACATAGGTGTCTTCCTCAAAGTCTTTCAGCTCTAAGGAGGCCTCCAGAGAGCACATAGAGCCAGTCCCTGAAGGACAGACACTGCCTCCCATTTGGAGAGACTGCAGAGGTCTAGATCAAGCAGGAGGTGGTTCCCAAGGCCCTCTCTCTGCTCTGGAAATCTATGCCCCCTGCTGGTCATAGCCCACCTGGTTGGACAGGCTGAGGCTGCTGTGGGCTCCAAGGGGTGCTCATCTAATTGTTTGTGCTCCTTGGCAGACAGAAGGCCATGGAACACTGCCAGCCACAGCTGGCATTGGGTCCAGATTTTCAGATTCTGCACCTGAATGAGTAAATTCAAGGGAAAAAAAGGCCTGTTTTCTTTGATGCCAAAGCTTAATCATGATAAAAATGTTTGTAAGGTTCCAGGGATGGGGTTTCATCCTGCAGTGGCAGTTGGCTTCCAGAGATGGAAATGGACTTTAATTCTCTTGCGCCTGGCTTGAGTCTCTCCTGCAGGTATGCCATTTGACTTTGAATAGTTGTACTTGTAGGGGTGGCAATGAGGTATGTTAATATGGAGGATGTTTGGAGAAGCAATAGGTGTTGAAGCAATTGTTGTGGAAAGCCTGTGATTTGATTAGCCAGTCTTTTAATGCTGGGCTTGAAGCATTCCAATAAGGCCAGTAATGTGTTGCCTGACCAGAAGGCAACACATTACCAGGTCTGGGGCCAGCATTGGCATCTTTTTTTCTTTTTTTCTTTTTTTCTTTTTGGTTTTTTGAGACAAGGTTTCTCTATGTAGCTTTGCACCTTTCCTGGAACTCACTCTGTAGCCCAGGCTGGTCTTGAACACACAGAGATCTGCCTACCTTTCTCCCTAGTGCTGGGATTAAAGGCCTGCGCCACCACCGCCCGGCTCAGCACTGGCATCTTTATACAGATGGCAAACAAGTTACCTTCCTGCTCTTCTCACAGCTAGACACAGACTGGTGAAGGAAGCCTGTGGTGTGTAGCATAGCTGAGCAGAGAGTGGTGGTACAGCGGCAGGTCAGGAGCCAACGCAGGCAGTAACCAGAGTGATAGCATGATGCCTCCGCCAGGGTTGTTTTGTAGAACCATATTACTTGATAACAACTTTTAAAACCAGGCATTTCTGTTTGTTTTTGACTAAGACTATTAACTAGGACAAAGTTTGTTTCTTATTTTTAAAAGCAATAGATCTACAGAGTGAGATCCAGGAAAGGCACAAAGCTACACAGAGAAACCCTGTCTCGAAAAACAAAAACCAAACCAAAACAAAAAAACCCCAAAGCAATAGATTTTTTGCTTTTAAAGGTTTAAAAATATTTTAGGACTGGAGAGGTGGTTTAGTGAGTAAGGGTTCAGTCGCCAGCACTGTGTAAACCCAATGTGGTAGCATATGCCTGTCACCCCCACACTCAGGAGGTACAAAGCAGACCAGAGTTTAAGGTTATCTTTAGCTACACAATGAGCTTGAGGTCTACATGAGACTATGTCTCAAAAGCAAAACCAAACAAAACACACATGGAGGGGGAAAAAACAGTTGTGATGAATGAAAGGTTTTTGTATAATAGTGGTTTTCAAAAAAATTTTTTTTTTCTTTTTCGTTTTTCGAGACAGGGTTTCTCTGTGTAGTTTTGGTGCCTGTTCTGGATCTCGCTCTTGTAGACCAGGCTGGCCTCAAACTCACAGAGATCTGCCTGGCTCTGCCTCCCAAGTGCTGGGATTAAAGGCACGCGCTACTATCGCCCGGCTGGTTTTCAAAATTAAAAAAAAAAAAAAAGTGATTTAAAACTTCCCTCAGGGCAGTTGCACAAAACTTAACTCTTTTCTTTTCTCTTTAGACTTTAGAAAACTTTAGAAACTTTAGAAGTGTGTGATGGAGAATGGTTTAAACTCCCTCTGCCAATCCAACTACATATATTAGTTCCTAGAGATCTTTCTTAGTTCCCAGGGATCTTTTGTTTCCCATTGAAGGAAGCTCATGGGGAAGCTGATCTGGCTGCTATCTTACCTGCTTCTTGGAGAGCTGGTCTCCTGCTGAGCATGTCTTCTGTGAGTGCTGTGGGAACCTTATGTTTCCTGCTTCTGTTTGGGGCCATCTGCGTTCTCAGAAGCCTCTACTCAGGCTCAGAGTGTGGTAGGATCAAGATAGGGCTGTTTGACCGTGGAGTGTCTGGTCTCTCGGCAGTGATGGGCTTGTTTACTTCTTATCTAATTTTGAGTTGTGGATGTTTCTGTTTAATGTCATGCCTGATCTTCCTGCCTGGCCTGTGCTGCCTTGCACAGCCATACACGTTCCTCTGTGCTTGTCAGGGCTGAGAATTAACCAGTGGGGCACCAGTTCACACACACGAAGCTTAAGGAGTCCTTAGCAAACCCTGCTAACTCAGAGAAACGCTCCATTCCCCAAAGCCAACACAGCAAAGTGAACTGTCCTGATAGATTGTGAATGTTCTGACAGCTCAGAGGACTTCTCCAGAACCTGCAGAACCATGCTCTTGGAAGGGAACTGTGCCGGCTCCAGGTTGCTCTGGGAAGAGTTGTCATCATGACCATCATGGGTGGTTTGAGGAACAAAGTGAATCTCTTCATCTATGTGTCATGTTTTTATTTCTCCTAGT